GTAGTGATACTGCCTCGGAAACCCAAGGAGGGGTCGCTATGAGTCGGGTTTGACTCGACAGCACATAACAACAACAACAACAAAATTTCCTTTAGCTGTTCCTGACTATCATTGGACCTTAGGAACTCTGTAAAAAACTTACTTCCACCATTTGCTTTGTGCACAAATCATATTTAGCAACAAATATACATAACCACTACTACTTCAATGCTGGTGATCTATGTAACTTCACCAGTAGGCTTAAAAGTCTTAATGGGAATTTCTGGCCAGCTGAATATATAGTAAACTCCAGTAGATTCAAAGATAATGCTATTGATATTGTTAACCATAGCTAAGTAAAAAAAAGTGCCAATTTCTAACCAACTCTCTAACCATTCAATACAATTACCTTCTCCAGGTTTGGGGTCCCAGCCCAATCTCTCCCCTATGGGTGAAAAGACATCTTTCACAAACTCTTGGATTTCCTCATAGAAGTCTGTGTGGGACAAGAGAGTTGAAAGAATCCCCAGGTTACAGCTCAGGTCGCTCCATACAGTATAATTGGGCTCATTCACAAAAGCCTCCATGACTTTTAGAACCTCTACAGTGCTAATGATTCCAGCTCGAGCCTGGGATAGGAAAAAACATAAATTAATCTAGTCTTCAAATAAAAACACACAAGCATTTATTTTTGGCATTTTTTACTGTTAGTCATCTCCTTGGTTTAAAGGAAATAAGACAATATAGGCTCAAAAGAGCAGTGTTTAAAAATCCTATTGTGACAAGAGTTCTCATTTAATTCTTCGATATTTATAAAAGAGCCACTTAAAAAATAGATATATATTAAAATTCTACCAATTTGGCACTGCAAAAGTAAAAAAAAAAAAAGTTCCACCAATTTGGGAAGAACGAAAAGAGAAGAAAGTAGATTCGCTTTCTATTTCTATTCCATTTCTGGGGTCTTGGCTTTGTTTTGAAATTTTCTTACTTTCAGCAAATGCAATATGTTGAGGCCTTAGTTTTTGACAGAAGTTGTTTCAAAACTAGATCTGCAAACTCTGTCAACTTAACCTTGTCCTTTACTCATTTCTAAAAGAATGTAAACTGAAAGGCAAAAATTCAGAGTCCTTTCAGAGCTAACTAATGGAGTTAGGAAAAAGAACTGTTACAGCAGCCAAATGCACAAATAGCCTACTCTCCTGGGACAGGTCTCTCTTAGCAGTTGTGAAGTTTTGTGCATCAAGGCTAATCTGTATCTATACAAAGGAATCCAAAATTAATTACTGCAGAGGAGAGGGGAAACTTGAAGTCCAATTTAAAGGAAAATTAGGAGGCATCTGAAAATTTTATCATAGTCAAAAATATCTAGAAGTTACCTAAGTCACATTGGAGTCATAAAGATAACAATAATAATTGCAGCTTTAAAGCCTTTCTGAAACAAAGCCAAACATAATTCTAAAGCTAATAGCTATTATAATTTGAGAAATAATGGAATGCTAAAAAATTCTTGATTTTCTCCAGAAAGTACAAGCACTATTTTAGAAAAACATAAATCACTTTGAATTAACTATTAAACAAACAAAACCTATTAGTGGAGAAACTTTCTTTATAGCTTGTATTGTTTCTATTCAAAAGAAAGAAATCTTTGCCTTACAAAGGTTAGTTTAAATGAAGATTGTTGCAAAAAATTGCTTAGAAGTGGTGAAGTGAAGTTCATTTCTGGTAAATTACATGGGTTCACTCTTGCCATGTTAATTAATAATTAGTGGGTTCTTCGAATCCCAGAGGCTAGTTTAACCTTCAGGAAGAGCTATATTCTTCTAATTATGCTTCAGTCAGACAAATCCAGAAAAAACAAAATCCTTTAACCAACAAAATCCATCATACAACTTAAATGAGAGGTGCTTACCAAGGAGAAGAGGTCATTCTGTAGCCCAAGTCGATCCACTGGGGGCAGAGAAAGGTCACGAATGCCTGGTAATAAACTTTCCAGCATGGCTGTACTGTACTGGGTCCGATAAAACCCAACTGTTCCCAGGTTTAACTGAAAAGATATTCAATAAGCACTATTAAACAGTTCCATTTCATTTTTTAAATCAACCTTTTGTATGTGTTTAGAGTTCTGGTTTTAGATATATCTAGATTAAAAAAAGCCACAAAGGCCACATACACTAACTGATAGAAATTAAAATAAAACAACACATATAGATTAAAAAAAAACAAAGATGAAAACAGAGACAAAAGAAAACAGTAACTTGAAATAGTGGGGGCCAAAGTGAGGGCCAGGAAGAGAACATGGCCGAGAGGGAGGGAACAATTTGGGCAAATTTCGATTCCTAATCCCAGTGGCTACATTTAGGTTTAGAGAAAATACAGTACTAAACATAAAAATGGGAGCTCTGGTAGCATAGTGGCTAAGGCACTTGACTGCTAACCAGAAGGCTGGTGGTTCAAACCCACCAGCCACTCCTCGGAAGGAAGGTTGGGCAATCCTACTTCCGTAGTGATACTGCCTCGGAAACCCAAGGAGGGGTCGCTATGAGTTGGACCGACTCGACGGCACATAACAACAACAACAACAACAAAACATAAAAACAAGGACCTCTGGTGGCGCAGTGGTTAAAGCCCTCAGCTTTTAACTAAAATGTCAGTGGTTTGAAGACTACTATCCACTCTAAGTGAAAAAGATGAGGCAGTCTGCTTCCCTAAAGATCATAGCCTTGGAATTCCTATGCAACAGTTCTATTCTGTTCTAAAGGGTCTGCTATGAGTTGAAATCATCTCAATGGCAATGGGTTCAGTTTTGGTTTGGAAATTTTAAAGAATTATCTGGACATAAAAGGTAATTTCATAAGACTTCATCATTCACTATAGGCTACTTGGGAGCTCTGGTAGCATAGTGCCTAAGGCACTTGACTGCTAACCAGAAGGCTGGCGGTTCAAACCCACCAGCAACTCCTTGGAAGGAAGGAGGAAGGTTGGGCACTTTACTTCTGTAGTGATACTGCCTCGGAAACCCAAGGAGGGGTCGCTGTGAGTTGGGGCCAACTCGACAGCACACAACAACAACAACAACAAAATAGGCTACTTATTATGAGTCAAAAGATAATTTTGAAAATATTATATATTCTAAGAGTAAAATGATAGCATAAAATGTTTTATTATTTATATGCAAATAGTAAAATATCACCCCACAATTTTAATATAGCTATTATTTTATTGATTTTTGTGTTGTTTTATGAAACATGTTCATATTGTTACATAATTTCCAAGATTATAATTTCAAATGGTAATATAATATCCCATTGAGTGTATTTAAAAAATTAAAATAGAGAGAAAAATAACTTTTCAAAAAAAGTATGTAAGTCGGAGACAGTGTATAATTTCTATTCAAAATCTATTAAAAAAAAGTTTGCAGTAGATACTTTTATTATCAAAGGTCTAGAGTAAAGAATAATGAAAACTAGTATTTACTACTCATTTGTGAAATAAGTTTTAAAACAGCAACTAAACGAATTTCATATTTCAGGGACACAAACTGATCATCAGATGTCTGATCTCATTTGATTATAGTTATGCATATGACAACACATCACTGAGATGATACTGTCATCACAATAGCAGTCTGGACTTGCAAGATGGTAAATGTTTTGGTCAGTGAGATTTTAGACATAGACTACTAATTTTTTTCATCTTTAACCAACCCTATCCACCTTATTTATTTACCTATCACTCCCTTACCTAACATATAAGCAAATCTCTGGACAATTCTATTTGGAAATTGGACCTAAATTTCACACAATGTCTTACTCTCAACTAAAATAGCAGAATTTAGATGCAGTAATAAGATGCCTAAAAGAAGTAAGAGCAATCAGTCAATTCAGGTAAGATAAAAATGGTCATGCTATTTCTGTAACTCACCTTTACCCACTGGTCTGGTTTGACGTTTTTCAAAACCACATTCATCTCTGGTTTGTCCATTAGAATTTTCAGTTTGGCTTGGTTGGGATCTTCACTAGTAGAGATTGTGATAGGAACCATCCACTGGGGACAGTCTTCTCCTTAAGCAAGAGAAGAACAAATCAAAAACTTGAAAAGAAATTTCACATGGGAAGAAATAGAAGGTAAAGTAGAGAAGAGAAGAGTCTGGTGGTGTCCTGACCAAGGGCTTGAGTTTAATTGCTAAGCTAATGGCTCATTTTCTATGGTACATGAACTCTTCTAGGAAACCTGAATAATTTTAGTGCAAAGAAGAAGATAATTTACTAACAAAATCACAACAGTCTAAAAAACGGAGACCAAGTTTATTCATTTATAGAACCACAAATGTAATGATTTCACCTTAATAATTATTTTCCTTTTATAGAGCAACAGAATGGCAATAATTTTACTGTTAAAATAAATTTTAAGTAGGTGAAAGCTCTCACACAACATGTAAAAAGAAACTGGAAAAATTCTGAAGTTCAGTCCTTAGCAGGTATATATGTTACTGTTAGTTGCCATCAAGCAGATTCCAACTCATGGTGACCCCATGTGTGAAAAATCGCAGGGCTGGATTTTGTTGTGATACGCTGGATACATCCTAGGAGCTTTTGGATCCTAACACTGAGGAGTCATAGCTAAAAACTATGGCATAGCTTTTATAAGGCAGATAAATTGTCTTAGATGCCAGAAAGCAATACAGATTCTGCATTAATATGTCAAACAAAAGAGAGTCATTTTCCAGTACATTAATGGAGCTATTTTATAAGTTAGATAGCTTTACATGATCAGGCTAAACCAGAATTCAAATCTCCTCTTGATACCTAGATATTTTGTATTTTAAAGTTGCCTACGTTGGTCACAGAGCATTAGGAAAACCTGTAAAACCCGTCAGTCCCACAATGCAGACAGATTACAGGTATGAGGTAGAAATGGAAACTGTGACGCTTAGGGATTTGTCTGGATAATAAACCTGACTCGTCAGACATATTCATTACAAGAGTAATTCCCAATGCTAAGGGAGGTTAAGGGTGGAAGGCTATTATCTCTCTTTTTTAAAAAACATTTTATTGTGATTTAGGTGCAAATTTACAAAGCAGATTCGTTTTATTCTCAACAAGTTCATACACAAGGCTTTATCTCTTAAGTCCAATAAAGTGTGACAGATTTTGGGGGGGGAGGACCATGACCAGGTACAAAGTGACTCTGATACATACCTCCTTCTGATGAGAACTAGTGCTTTTAAAGAAGTGAGAAAGTTATAGAAAAATATTTGATTTTTTATTTAGTGCCTAAGGCATTTAACTGCTAATCAGAAGGCTGGTAGATTTGAACTCCTCGGAAGGAAGACTGGCCAATCGACTTCTGTAGTGATTTTTATTATAACATTTCTGTGACAAAGCAGACTTTCAAAATAGAAGATGAGTTTGCTTGTACGTAGAAACAAAAAACAACAACAGAAAGAAAGCAAGTAGAAGTAGATTGCCCAATCTTCCCTCTAAGGAGTAGCCAGTGATTTGAACCAGCAGCCTTCTGGTTAGCAGTCAAATGTCTTAGGCACATTTTTTATTTAATTTTCTGGGTGAAAGGGTCTAATGTTACATGTGGAAATACTTGGAAATATTTGGTAGAGTGGTAGTTAAGAGTTCAAACCCTTGAAGTAAGACTACTTTTTCTGAATTTTCATAGTTTAATTTATTAGGTCATCTCAGACAAGTTAACTAATGTAACTGTGCCTCAGCTCCCTCAACTATAAAATGGAAATAATACCACCTACTTTATAGGGTTGATGAGAATATAAGAAAAGGGCCAGTTTTAGGTGCTTAGCACAATGTGTGGTACATAATAAATCTAAATACTCACTGGGCTAGATTTACTTACTGTATCTAAAAACAAAACAAAACAAAAACACTGATACAAACACACACTAAGCCTTCTCTTAGGGATTAAGGCTGGAGGCATCACTTCTTAGGTGTCCCTATCCTTCTTCACTCCTTATAGCCTCCAATAACAGAGACAAGGAACTTCAAAACCTAAGCATGTGACAAAGCACTAGAATAATTCATGAATCACCTTTTCTGACTTCCTAGCCTTCATTTTTTTTATTCTATCACCATTTCCTTGTTTTTATTTAATTCTACTAGAAGTACAAAAAGTGGATAATTATTTCCTATGAATTGGAACATTACTAGTATATAATCCAAATTCATTGATCAGCTCCCACTTATAGCCATTGGCTTACCAACATATGGTCCACTGGCACAAAATTTCCTTTGGGACAACCTCAGTACTTGGTCATCTTCTACCTAAAGACGAAAAATAAAGGCTATAGTAGTATTAACACTTTTGGGGGAGGGAGGAATAAAGTATTTCTGTGACAAAATAGATTTCCATTTGACATTTTAGTCAAATGGTTCCTGAGTATGCAAAATGCAAGGTTGATAAAGGTAATACTACAGAATGGGAGGTATGTCACTATTTCTCATTTAGCCCTGAAAATGACAATACTCTGAATAAAAGGTCAGGTTCTATGTAATACAGCCATTCAGAAGAGATGTACAAAAAACTAACACTGAGATCAGAAAAAGTTTTTAAAAACTTTACGTATTAAAGTTTTCAAAGGAATAATAAAAAATAACACTATGAAAACTTATTTTAATATTTATAAATCACATTTAGTCTTTTCTACTTCTAAGAATTCTTAGATTAGCATATGAAACCAGTATTTCAGAATTCAATTTTAGGATGACTGATAAACATGAAAGAAAGCACTATAAAGGATGACTTCGTAGTGAAACACACACATTAAAAAAAAAAAAAAAGAAAAAAAAAGTGGAGGTAAAAACTGCAAATAACTAAAATGATAGAAGCATTAATGGCATATTTAAAAATATATATTTTTCAACAATATGTTTTTTGTTTCATTTATCATTTGTAATTACGGCCTCAAAATTCTCACTGCCACGTAGTAGTTTCCGACTTATAGGGACCCCTCCTTGGGTTTCCGAGGTGGTATCACTACAGAAATAGATCACCCAATCTTCCTTCTGAGGAGCAGCTGGTGGATTTGAACCAGCAGCCTTCTGGTTAGCAGTCAAATACCTTAGGCACTACGCTACCAGAGCTCCCAATTATGCCCTAGAAGATTTAAAATAATACAAGATATAATAGTTTCATAATCACTTAAATCAAATATAAAATCGGGCCAGTGACCTTCATGGATATAAAGTGACTAAGAGACAAAATTGCAATGTTAAGAAAAAATCTGAGTGAGCCACAGCGGCTTGAAGCAACCACTCTGGCAATGAATCAGCACATCATTGTTTAGCTTATGTTTCACACAGATTTTCTTGAAAAAGTTGATAGCTGATTTTTAAACTGATTCAGAATTAAAGCAAAAATATTTACGTTTAGGGAATGTAAAGTGAGAGATAGATCATAAACAAAATATTATTTGCTGCAGAGCTATTATATTCTTAAAGGAATTAAGAACTACAGACCAAGATTTTCATTGTAACATTTCTGTGACAAAGTAGAATTTCAAAATAGAAGATTTTGAAAAAGAGTTTGCTTGTACTTACAAACAAAAAACAAAAGAAATAAAACAATATCTTGAAGTAGCTGGAAGGAGAAATTGAGTCTCAATAAGGCTGACAGGAAGTGGGGTATTAATGTTCTCTGTTGTAATTGATAAACTATTATGCTATTAAGACATGCTCTGCCTGAAGGAAAAATTACTGGCTTAACAGTCTACTTCAAGTGTAATAATTAGTTTAACAGTTTTGACGTCTTGATAGTTTTTGAGGGACTGACATCCCCAGAGGTTAATAACCAACTAATCGTCTTTGTATGCTATTATTCTTAAAGCAGGAAAGCAAAGAGAAAACTGCTCATCTCCATGGAGTTGTTGATGTCAAGTTTGGTCATCGCCTATGGCAGATTAGTTTCAAGCAGATAAAGGAAACTAGAAAGAAACAGAATGTTCACTAAATTTACAGGTATTCTTTTCCATCAGACATGAGCAACTGTATTCCCTAAACCGCCTTTTCAATTTTTTGCAGCTAACCTAACTAAGAGGTCTTTTAATGCATGTATTTAATTATGAAAAACAGTCATATGTTATGGTTAAGATGTGAGTCTCAAAAGGTATTTTGCAAGCTTCTGCATTAAAATGTCCCATCTAAATCTGAGTCATTTTAGAAATGCTCTGTTAATGTAGTGATTATAACCTGTTAATTTAGTGACTGAGAATCAAGACACTCTGTAAGACATACTTAGCTTTACAGACAATGCAGGATCACAAGAACATAGATACTGAAAAAAGAGCTTTGAATTCTCCTCCCTAAAAATGTACAGTAATTAATTCTCCACACAGCTCATGAAACCATGGCAAAGAAATTTAAAAGTAACCATTTCTCGGTTTCATATAATAAAACTGAACTAAAATAACTTTCTGATAGGCATTAAAGGTTTATGTGTAATTATTAGTCCTACTGGAAGATAACTTATTCTGTAGTACTCCTCTAAGAGCTCTGGTGGTATAGTGGCTAAGGCATTTGGCTGCTGACCAAAAAAGGTTGGTAGCTCAAATCCACCAACTGCTTCGTGGAAGAAAGATGAGGCTTCTGTAAAGATTGACAGCCTTGGAAACCCAATAGGGGTCGCTATGAGTCAGAACTGACTCAATGGCAGCGAGTTTGGTTTCCTCTTTTGGTAGTACTCCTCTTTGAACTCAGATAACAGTTAACTACCAAGAAGGCAATTCTCATCAAAATCATATTGCTACTCAAAAAACAGTTTTACAGAATTATATTATAAATGGGTGTTGAATTTAACCTAATGTTTTTTCTATACATACTGAGATTAATTATGTACTTTCTGTACTTTATTCTGTTAGGTAATTATGAATCAATACCAAAAACCAAACCAGCTAACATTGAGTTGATTCTGGTATGTTGATTTACTTTTGAATGTTAAACCAACCCTGCTTTCCTAAAATGAACACCATCTGGAGATTTCAGATGGAGTTCTGGTGGTGCAGCAGTTAAAGTACTTGGCTGCTAACCAAAAGGTTTGTGGTTCGAACCCACCAGCCACTCTGTGGGAGAAAGATGAGGCAGTCTGTTTCCATAAAGATTTATAGCCTTGGAAACTTTATGGGGCAGTTCTACTCTGTCCTATAAGGTTACTATGAGTCAGAAATGACTTCATGGCAGTGGCTTTGGTTTTTGGTTTTTTTTTTTGGTGGTAATTTTAGAATTTTATCAACAAGTTGGACACTGTAAAGTTTTTCCTTGGGAACAGTAAAAGTAGACAATGTTTTGCTTTTACTACAATATATATAATTTTAATGATATAGGGAACAAATAATTTACTACAGAGATGTAAGTCACTGAGAAAAGAGTAAAAGGATTGGTTTAAATGATTAGTATGTAAAGCACAGAAAAGCAAATTTAATAAAATCATATTAAATTTCATTTAACACAATATCAAACAAACCGAAGGACTTTATAAGTATACCTGTTCTGATTCCACATAAATGAGGGGAAATCCCATTTGTTTGGTCCAGGTATTCATTACAGCAGCTATAGGTTTACCACTAGCATTTTCTAAACTTTCCCAGAGATCCTCTAGAAGATAAACACAATGAAAATCTGAAACGTTTACATTTTTATTTTCCTAAACAAGCCAGAAATTTTATTAACCTTTTAATAATGCAGCATCACCACTGCTGCCCTATTCTTTAGCTCCTTCAGGTTTAGGAGACAACTATGGCCAAAATTACCCCCAGCACCCCATTAAGTAAATTCCCCATTAAGTAAATTCTATTATAAAAACTAGTCTTCTATGTTAAGATGGTATTAAGTATGCCAACTCATAAGAAAAAATATAAATTACAATAGACAAACAAACAAATAGCTTCAAATAAGATAGACAAACAAACAAATGGAAACACGTTCAACATTGCTACCAAGGAATCTTTCACGAACTTAAAACCTGCTGTTTTTAACAGAAGTTAAAAACACTCAATGCTAATGAGGATGAAGTAAAACGCAAAGAGTACATTACTTGTGGTAAGGAAAGCAAAACAGCAATATAATATAATGTGACAAATATAATAAAATGTGAAAATAAATGTAAATAATAAATGTGAAAAACGGTGGCCTACACAGAGGAAAAAGCTCTCAAAGAAAAAGCCAAAGAAAAGAAAAGCTTCACAAGAGGTGACTTGGTCTGAGCTTGAAGGTGAGTTGTTTGTCAGAGAGAAAAGGGAAAAAGAGAAGTCCAGGTAGACATAATAATTGGTCTATGCAAAATAGTAAAATATTATAAAAGAAAGTATCAGTAACAGCAATATGTTCAGTAAGGCTGAAGAATGGAGGGTACTGGTGTAGGAGTAACAGAGGATGAAGCTAATAAAGTAGGCAGGGGCTGAGCAGTTCAAGACTTACAAAGAAGTATAGATACAGGTATGTGTGTATAATTTTTTTTTTTTTAAGACTGAAAGGATACATATCAAACTGTTAACATGTGGGCTTTGGAGTAGGATTTTTCACTATTAATTTAAATTTTTTTTTAATGGATATGTTTGCTTTCTTTACTTATTTTTTTGTGATTTGGGTGAAAGAGATAATATTGAAAGGAGGGAGGCAAGGCAAGAAGTAGTGAGTTAGCAGGCAACTTCAGAATTCCAGTGTAGAAATCAGGAAGACATGAACTTGCTAAGGGCAATGAGGACTGACAGAGAACACTGGAACTGCTGCAAGAGGATGAAGACCATGGATGGTAACTGAAAGGTATATGAACTGTCAACTGTCTTTCAAAAAGAAACAAAAACTGTTAAATGGAACACTCTGCTATGCTATTCAAAACGTGGCCCATGAACCAGCAGCACTGGCTTCACCAGGAAGCCTGCTAGAAACGCAAGCTCTCAGGTGCCACCCCAAACCTACTGAATTAAGACATATTTTAACAGACTCCAGGTGACTATATATATACATTACAGTTTAAGAAGCACAACTTTTTCAGCATTTACATATACATGTATAGAAGACTTATAAAAATCTGTAATATATTTTCTTTAACCTTACTTTAAGGAACTGAACAGATATCCATTTTACAAACTAAAAAGGAAATTTATGGGGTAGGGGTAAGAGGATGGGAGGGTGGGGAGCAGTCAAGGTTATATATACTGGCATGAACAGAGAGGCAAATACTGTATTTTTAACTCAAAGGCCACTAACCTCAGGAATAGCTCATACTCAGGCCTATTTGAATCTTTGTCCTTCTATTAGACATGAATTACCACAAACCTTGTCTTTTAAAATATTTTTGTTCAAGAAATGAAAATTCCAAGTCAGGCTCTTTTTCATAATCAAACAACATTTACACATTTATTTTTCCTTTTGACTCCAATATCCAATAAATTACAGACCACCATAGATTAAAAATTTCAAGGTTTTACTACAGTGAAACTCTGTAATTCCAAGAGTTCATTCCTAAAAACGATTAATTTGCAGCTATTTTAAATGGCCAATTTAGGCCAATAAAACCAGTCCATCACCAGAAAATGAATAAGCTCTAATAAGATAAACAGAACTTCGTCAGATATCTTTAAGTGGCAACTACTGAGCCACGGATAGTCGAATACTGAATAAAAAAAGGGATAACGGGTCCCAATTTATGTTGATCCAATGACTTACTATATGGTTTCAAATAAGTCAACTTTATTTCCTACTCTTCACATGGAAAGTTAAGCATTTAGAACAAAAAGAAAATGTCTAATCTTGGATAGAGTATCAATACTTTTTCTTCATTCTCATATCAAACTATTAAAGATTACCTGTGGCAGCATTCTTTTGTTGGAACTTAGTTAAATACATGTTCATTCCTTTCTTAAAGTCCTGAGAAAACACAATTTTTAAGATTCAGGAGACGCAGATCTCAAAATTTATAGTACATTTGCATATTAATACTAAAAAGCAAGTTTCTTCAAATTACTTGAGTCTCAGATTTACTTAAAAATATATGCCTACCTGATGCCTACTGCCTTTTAAGAATGCATCTTTGCCTTCTACCTTGTTTTTGTTATGTGCCATCGAATCGGACCCGACTCATAGCAACCCTTCCTTGGGTTTCCGAGGCACTATCACTATGGAAGTAGATTGCCCAGCCTTCCTTCTGCGGAGTGGCTGGTGGGTTTGAACCTCCAGACTTCTGGTTAACAGCCAAGTGCCTTAGGCACTATGCTACCAGAGCTCCTTTGCCTTCTACACTTGCTTTTAAATTTTATAGTCTCCCACCCCCCACCCCCAAACATACTTGCATGTCATTCACCTAAGAAACCATTATAGTCAATATAAAAAGGAAGGCAAGCTAGAGAGCATGATAATGTCCCTCTGTTGTTGTTGTTGTTGTTGTTATGTGCTGTCGAGTCGGCCCCGACTCATAGCGAACCCTCCTTGGGTTTCCGAGGCACTATCACTATGGAAGTAGATTGCCCAACCTTCCTTCCGAGGAGTGGCTGGTGGGTTTGAACCGCCAGCCTTCTGGTTAGCAGTCAAGTGCTTTAGCCACTATGCTACCAGAGCTCCTAATGTCCCTCTAGATTCTAGAAAAATTATCTAGGAACTTATTCCAAATAGAATCAAATGATAGGCAAACCTCTATAATTTCACAATGAAAGAATGGAAGATTTTTAAAAATGGCTTCTTTACCTTATCCCCAATGTAGTCATGCAGCATCCGGATAACAGATGCACCTTTGCTGTATGATATTGCATCAAATATCTCATCAACCTCAGAAGGATGGCCCACACTGACCTGGTAGACAGTGTGATTCAGGGTTATGACAGGAAGCAGACAGCCTGTAACACTGAATTACATAAAAAGCTTTCTAGGAAAACCCTTCTAACTCATAAGATACTTTTCTGTCATTAGCTCCCTCATACTGTATAGTTACTACACTCAAAAACACATAGTAACTAATACTAGTAAAGTGGAATATGTAACATGAGCCCTATCACCTCCTAAGGCCAGGTTCTAGTCTTGGGTCATCTCTGCTAGGGTACAAGTCACTAAGGATGTTTGTTCTTGAGGGGAAAAAGGAAGGGAGAAATTAAAAACATTTGATTTCTTGAACTAATTATCTAGCTTACAATTATATAAAACTTTGATTAATTATATCAAATAGGATTGTAACTCTAGTTCTTGTGAGGCAAAATTGATACATATAAACTAACTTAAGGAAGGACAGGATAAGTCAAGAGAATTAAAATTTGTACAAAAACAAACAATGGCATCATAGTGTTCTTCTAAGCCTATTACTAAACAGGTATGATTCCCCCACACCACTCAATAAAGAAGCATTTATCAAATGCTGATAGGTAAACAGCAACTGCCTCTACAAAGACCAAATTTTTATAATGCTGATCTTAAAAAGGACATTAATTAGAATTTACTATTGTTAGATTTTCAAGACTCGAAATATGAACTATAAAAAATAAGTAAAGTGAAATCACCCATGCAAATTTTTCTTCTTTTCAGAATCCTAAGCATCTCTGTAAGAAATCACTTATTTCATTGTAAATGAGAATAGTCAAAGACCAATGGTTGGAAAGCATGGCTCACTTCAATAGGATGGCTGTTATCTAAGGCATCAAGCTCCTGGGCACGGGTATAATCAGCAGAAACAAACTGAGTCCAGATATCATACTCTGGGAAGCAGTGGTCTACACACAAATATTCAATCCAGGAAGCAAAGCCTTCATTTAACCAAAGATGAGTCCACCATTCCTAAAAAGAAAAGATGGAAATATGTATAAATAAAATTAAAACCCCAAACGCTATCATTCTACTAGTTTGAAAAACTCACAAAAGTCCCTTACACTATACTCTAAACCTAATAACTTAATGAACTAAAATTTAATTAAAAACATTTAATAAATAACTCATATCTCTGAAAAAGAGAAACCTAAAAAGAGATGACAAGAAAAGCCAACTAGTAATATTAGAATTACACCTGAGGGGGATTATGAAAATATTGTTAAGTATAACTTTTCACTACCAAAGCAGACAAGAAACCAACCTGTATATGGAAAAGGGGAAGAGAATAAATACATGTGGGTCAGAGCAGAGATGGAAAATATCATATAAAATTTAGTTTAGTAAAGGATTTCCCTTAAAGAAACAGGGCCAAGCAAGGAAAAGTGGAAACTATTGCCATAATGAATGGGAAAAGTCATTATTGACTGATGTGTTAAACTTTCTAGATAAATAGAAAAGCTGTACTGCTAATATGATGATTATGTGAAATTGATAGAAATGTCACAGCAGTAAGCAGTTCAGTAATGAATGGTGGTTAATCATTTAGAGTACTAAAATTTTCACCTGTAAATAAGAATTTATAGTGAGTGGAATGGACAAAGAATATATTAATTTAATTTGGGTCACAGATTAAACCAACTTTTTAAAAAAAGAGTTCTAAATCTAATTTTCATTAAAGTTGATTAAATCTCTTATGAAAAGAAAGCAACATATGAATGCAAGACAGATACCAAAGTACTAATGCAATGGTGAAGGGGCTTTCTGAAATTTTCAAAAGATCAAGTATTTTCAATATTAAGTGATAAGTAATTATCTAAGTACTTTATGCTATTTAATTAGTAGCCTCCACAAAGATAAGCTGGTACAAATCTAAACCCAGCCTATGTGTAAGCCCTTGGAATTTTAGTTTATGAAAAAAATTGACATGTAATAGTTACAATGTTGTTATTGTTGCCAGTTGCCAGGAAGTCAATTTTCAACTCATGGTTACCCCACGTGACAGAACAGGACTGCCCCTCGGGTTTGGGGGTAGAATCTTTACAGTAGCACACCACCAGGTCTTTTTCCTGTAGTCACTGGGTAGGTTCAAACCACTGATATTTAGCATCCAAGTGCTTAAACGTTGTACCTTTAGGGCTCTTTAATAACTAGAACAGTTACCCAAATCCAGAAAAAGGTTGTTTAAATGCAGTATGATAGTGCATGTTTCCCATACTAAAATTTATTGCTGGTGGTTTCAAAAAACATCATTAAAGAAAAGTTTTCTCAAAGCTGAGCAAAAATATCTTGTTTGGTAGGAAGTAGCAAGCTTCATTAGGCCAAAGGGACACTTCTGTAGGTTGGGCAATCTACTTCCGTAGTGATACTGCCTTGGAAACCCAAGGAGGGAGGGGTCATTATGAATCAGGTCTGACTCGATGGCACACAACAATAACAACACAAATATCCAAAGCAAAAGGGAAGCATTTACTTTCAAGGGTTGACGTCCTTTAGAAACCCTCTCAGACACTGTTAAACATTTTACTTTCTTGTTTATTTCTGTGACATACGGAGCTCTGGTAGCATAGTGCCTAAGGCATCTGACTGCTAACCAGATGGCTGGTGGTTCAAATCCACCAGCTACTCCTCAGAAGGAAGATTGGGTGATCTACTTCCGTAGTGATACCGCCTTGTAAACCCAAGGAGGGGTCACTCTGAGTCGGATCTGACTCGATGGCAGTGTTTTTTTTTAATGGACTTAAACAATATCCAAGTTGGGTTCTGCTCTTTGGCAGCCTAAAATAATGTCAGGTAGTGTGGCGGGCTCCAAAATCTCCACTTTCTTTGTCTATTAGCTCTATGCTCTTAAGCTCTAACACTGATGCCTTCTATAAATAGTATTTATTTACAATAAGAGTGAAAAGTCAAGACTAAAGGGCAGAGATCATTCACTACGAATATTTTAATAAACAAAGGTTTCTACAGATGGAATTTTTAACACGACTTATAGCTGTTCTACAATTTCTTTGCTTTCAGAAAATGAAAAAACTAACCTCTAAGAACATTTTGACCTAATCAAAGATCAATTTATTATTTCTCAGGTTAATATTTTTCAGTTAGGGAGGGAATTACATAATAAATGTGAATCAAAAGCAATAACCTAGAATCACTGCATGAGTCAATCATCTCTAAGAAGAATGTCTTTCTCTCATCCAAATTAACATCTTAACTCATTTTCCCCATTTGCAGGCAGATTCTAGGTCAGTTTAAGAACTGTTTTCTGTGGAATGATGATTGTCTACATGTTCTTAATCAACACAGAGATTCTGATAAACACTTTCCATTTTTTTCTATTACTCAATTATTTTTTGGCACAACGTTCCACCCAGCTTGTGATCATTATGGAGCCAGAATAATGTGATGCATGATGAAGACAAATATATTTGAGCACTTGAAAATATTAAATACCATAGTAACAAGATTTCCAAACCATTGATGGGCGAGTTCATGTCCCACAACCAGAGCAACCCACTGGCGTGATGAAGAACAGGAGTTTTTTGGATCAATAAGCAATGCAGTCTCCCTGTGTTTAAAAGAAAATTTAAACAATAAAATAAAAGTACTGCGATAAAAACTGGCATGCACAAGTGGGGGAGATTCAAAACAGAAAATGAGATGGTCAAGTTAAGCTTCAGAGATATCAAGAAAACATTTCCTCAGAGTACACTAGATAGAAAAAGTTCCAGGAAGATTAAAGACCATCTCAATAAAAACCATACAACAAACGATCAAAGATATGATACAGGTTTAATCATCAGGTTGTTAACAGGACAACTGCCTGAATTTTTGGAAAAGCATTTTAAGACAGTCCTTCCATTAAAAGAAGGGGAGCAGGGAGAGGAAAGGGGAAAGAGATACATTCCAGAGTCCTAAAAAGGACTCCGAGCAGGATGTCCAAAACTTAGCTCATCTGAGAAGGCAACTGAAGAGAGAAGGCAAAAACTTGTTTACAGACCCTGCTTCAAAAATTATACAACCCACATGTTTATATTGTGGTGACAAACATGAAAAAGCTTGGCTAGATTATATGAAATTAGGGAGGGCTCTTCAAACTGGATAAATAGCTATGAAACTACTGGAAGGAAGAGAAGGGACCAAAATTAGAAATTCAGCCAAGAATACATCTAAAATTGCTACTAATGCCAGATGCTCATTTTAAAATCTTACACCCTCAGATAGTAGCACCAGAGGGGGCCCATCTGCATTTCTGAAATATGCACAGAAAGGAAAATTTACAGTAGATTATAAAGCAGAAGCTAACTCAACTGTGATTAGGAGTGAAGCCCTTAAGAAATCAGTGATTGAAAAGATAAGGCAGGGTAATGCATCATTAACATACCTATAAGTAACAAGGCCCCAGTTCTCCATGGCACCTTCATAAAATAAATACAAACATTTACTGATATATATATACTTATTCCTCAAAATCACAAATTCAAGAAAAGCTATTACAATTCAGCAATAAAATGAAATTTACTTTACCAGCTGCAAAGTCTGCAATAGCAATGAGATCAATTTTAGGTAGAGGATAAGGAACATTGAAGTAGTCCTTATAAAAAGGCAGGGTTTTAGCAGCAACCTATAAAAGTATAAACAAAAGTACCATCTGATAAATATCTTATTGTAATTCATATAGAAATCCACAAAGGAATCCTGTTGCAGGCCAAAGTATCTCAAATTACTAGAAACCAATTCTCAGGAGTCTCTCTCAAAAGACTGCCTTAGCCCCAGGCTTTCTATATATTGGCCCAACTTCACCCCATTTCTAACTTAGAGAATATAATTACATCTTTTCCCACCCATCCCTGGGTAAATAAATTCCACTCATACTCTTTTAATCATTATTTTATAAATGTTAATGCAACAGCAAGGTTGGTATTCCCAAAATTCTATTAAGAATAAAACCAAAGTAGCACAAAAAATTTTAGATTAAATTATAAGTAACTGTACTAATAATGGATCAGAAATGTAAATTCCCCAACCTGGCGTTATGAACTGTTGGAACAATCCTCTTCAAGTACATTTACCTCTAACGCAAATTTTCCTTGCTCTGCTTTGCCGACCGGGGTGTAAACACGGACACACACACCATCTTTTGACCTTGTTTCTACAAAGTCATATTCACCCACAACAAATGCCACCAGATATGTAGACATGACAGGTGTTCGGGCAAACTTCACTTCCACTAAATTTTCATCATCAGGGTATGGTTTCCGGTCAATTACATTCTTACAAGAAAAAAGAAAGAAAAATTGAAACACACTTACATTAAATACTTTAGAGCAAAAACTAACCAAAAAACTTTAAGCTTTATTATCTCCTCTGCTTCTACCACTGTTTACTTCTTACTCCAATTCATTTAGTGCTTTTACACTGTCAAGATCTTTCCTTTTAAGAAGGAAAGTGACCTGGTAAAACACTCACATTAAGGAGATAGGGGCTAAAGTATCAAACTTACCAGGAACTTAAAGAAAAAACAAAAATAAAAAACAGATCAACTTTTCTTGAATACTTATTATATGCCAGGTACCCACCAGCCACTCCTCGGAAGGAAGGTTGGGCAATCCTACTTCCGTAGTGATACTGCCTCGGAAACCCAAGGAGGGGTCGCTACGAGTCAGGGCCGACACGGCACATAACAACAACAACAAGGGTGTTTTAAGGAGCTCTGGGAGCGTAGAGTCTAAGGCACTTGACCACTAACCAAAAGGCTGGCAGTTCAAACTGACCAGCCACTCCTCGGAAGGAAGGTTGGACAATCTACTTCTGTAGTGAAACTGCCTCGGAAGCCCAAGAAGGGGTCGCTATGAGTCGGGTCTGACTCAAAGGAACATAAGAACAACAACAACAGAGTGTTGTAAGACTTTAATACTTTTCAAGTAAAATAAGGATAGGAGACAACTGTTAATAAAAATCAAATACAACTGTGGAATAAGAGCACTGATTTCTAGATCTGGAGCATTCTCAGCTAACCTATGAAGAAACCTCCACTTTACCTTTTTAAAAAAAAACAACAAACCAGTTGCCTTTGAGTTGATGTTGACTCATGGTGCCTTTGTATGTATCAGAGCAGAACCATGCTCCATAGGACTTTCAATGGCTGATGTTTTGGAAGTAGATTACTAGGCGTTTCCTCCAAGGAAACTTGTGAGTCAACTCCAACCCCCAACCTTTCAGTTAACACCCTTGAGAAAGTTAACTATTTGCACCCCATGGGATTACACTTTACCTTTAGAATTTCCTATTTTCCCTCTGACATTCTCCCTCTTTTTCCTACTTAGGTTCTTAGTTTCCTCAAACTCTATTCTATTCTATTCTTTCTTCCAAGGAAGACTTGCTTAAGAACAAGACCTGATAAATTCATTCACTATGAAGTATAAATGAATATCCCAGTTTGATACATTAGCCTCCTCTCTAAGAATATTTGAGAACAGAATGGCATTACACTCATGGAATTCTCTCCATACATAAATGAAGGCAAGAGCTGGATATTGTGGGGAGCAGGGGGCTTTTTTAAAGTTTCCCATTCATATAACTACAGGCTACTGCCTATACCATTTCGTAAACAAGTTAGTCTTAGACAATACACTAAACTGGTGAATGCTTACTCTATTTATGAATGTGATTGATGACAGGGGTGAACAGAGCATACTCCAAGCACACAATCAGCCAACCACCTAAATACACTGCATTATATGTCTGTATCTTCTGGCATTTAAAAAGAAAGTTAGGTTTTTTTCTTCCAGGTAATAATTCACTGTATTTGCTATTTATTTAGAACTCCAAATTAAAAGAAATAATCCTACTAAAGAAGGCAATAAGAAAAAAAAAAAAAAAAAAGGGCTTACTGGAAATAAAGAAAACTAACATTTGTGTTCCTATTATGTACCAAGCACTGTTCCAGGTGATTTCATGTTATTCCTTCTAATCAGCAAACTAGTTATGCTAAAAACTTATTAAAACTAAATATACTTACAAACACATACATACCATGTTTGATAAAGCTACTCTGTCTTTAGGAACAACCAATGAAATATCAAATGTTGCTTTGATGGCAGGCTCATCCCAGCAAGGAAAAGCCCTCCGGGCATCAGTAGCCTTAAAAGAACATGAAATAAGAACATCAGTCCATTAACCTAACAGGTTATTTCATGAAGTAAAAGCCATCTCTCTTTCTTTCTAGCATTCACTCATTCATTCCTGAGCTTATTCAAATACAGGTTTCCTCCACCATCTGCAAAAGCAGAGCACTCCTATGAGTTTTTTTTTTTTTTTTTTTTGGTAAGCTGAAATAGCATAAAGCAAAGAAGCAATTACCATCAATTTATTTTTAATACACATTTTTGAGCATTCTCAGACTCAAAAAAAATAGTCAACCAATATATAACCTAAAATAGCACTAACATAACATTCACAGACATAGTTCAAAGCTATGGTGAGATGCTGAGTGTAGCTCCCAGGGAAGGAGCTTGGTGATGCCACTCTTGCTGCTCAGGATGCATACTCCTTCTTTAATGGATCGCTGTAAAACAAACAATGAGCGATAGTTTCTCCTTTCCCTTCTCTTTCCTGGATTTCTTTTAGTTGGCAAAAACAGGTATCAATGTAAGGCTTTTGTAAAAGTGAAGTGGAGTAAAGCAAACCTTCAAAGGGTGGGTAGTATCTGTATATACTTTTTACTGGGTGCCAAGCAATGAGCCCAACACTGCTAACAAACAATACACAATGCTTGCTATCAGTACCCTACCAGCAATTCTCTAGGAAACAGGCTGCTAAAGATGTAATTTATAGTGTTGTATTTTTTGTTTTTATAAAATATTTCAGCATTTAATACAAATGGCATCATCAATAATGCTCACATAATACAAAGCAGCACAGGAGAGTCAATGGTACACTGTAGGAATTCAGAGTTGGGAAAATATGAAAGATTGCCTTCCTGGCTTTTCATTTAAAAACAAAAACAAAAAAGAGTTTCAGAGTCTTTCATGTGCTTTGCTCTTTATCTGGAATGGCAGCAATGGGAATAAAGACAGTCACTATTAATTCAAATAGGTCATTCATTAAATGATACTTTCGTAAACTACACACACAACTGTCACCACGTGATCTAGCTAAATGCATCTCATTCTTTAAAAATTAAAAAAGAACAAACGTTTGTTAAAATAAAATTTAACTGTTCAGCAAAATACTTCCAGGAAATTTCAGCAAACAGAATAAAATCATGAAATAGAAATAACGACAAGATTCTGCACAATGAAAGGAGGGATCGGAATATGCAGCAGCAGAGGAAGCACATTTTTTTTTTTCTCCAAGAAAAGAATTTTAGATAGTTGTCTGCACAAAGAAATTAAATCATGAATGCTATCAAAGAATAAATAAGACATCTGAAAAGTAGAAAGAGAAAACAGCATGGAAAATTTTAAATTGGAAGCAGCAGCAAGACAGAAATTAGTTTATACTACAGAAATGAATGACATGGGGAACAAGATTGAAAAGTTTCTAAAATATGCAAAGGACAAAGTGATGAAAGCAGTCAAAGGTACGTAAGAGGAACAGCCACTAGAACTAAACCTATTCTTAACTGGTGTTCATGAAAAAGAGATCAGAACAGAAACCACACTGAATGTAATGGAGAAAAATTTTGGTACATTAAAGAAAGACCTGAATCTGAAAATGTATTAACAAGAGGTCACCAAGTACCATGCAATATCAATGAGAAGTGAACACCTGGTAAAATTTTTAATTTTCAGGGTCAAATAAATAATTTTACAAGGAATAAGAAGGAAAACAAAACAAAACATATTACCTACTGCAAAAACGACAAGGAGGCCACATGTTCTGACCTCCTCTAATCTCACAAGAGGAAGACAGGATTACCAGCAGTAACCCAAGGCCTATTACT